AACATCTCTGAGCCGACCTGCCTCCCAGGCGCTCCTCTCACACATAGAAAAACTCATCTGAAACGCACAGACATGTTAATGACCACAGGCTAAACCATTGTGTCAGGCAAAATGATTACCTTATCAATCAGAGGGAGGAAAGCGCACAGATTTTAGAGAAGTAAGATGGGACGGCGAGCGCGGCCTGCTTTCACCACATATGCAATGACAGCTCATTCAGAAGGCACAAAAGGCGAAAGAAAAGGCGACAAAAGACAACAACTGCCCTCCGTCTCACAGGTGGTCAGCTTCCTCAAGACCGCTGAAGCCATCTCTCCCGCTCTCCCTGTCCTGCAACTTTTTTTTTTTCTGTACGACACCGCCTTCTGACCCATCATAAAAACACATCTCATCTTTGAAAAATGTGCGGGATTTATTTTATGCACACACAGACAGACAGACACACACACACTCACACAAGTATTCAGCCCTCAACTTCGCCTAAATAACCGGTTCAATTAGAACCACATGTATAATCAGGCCTCAGTCTAAAGCAATGTGGCGGCAGTTTCACTGTGCAGTCAATCATTTCAATACACAACCAGAACATTCCCCCACTTGCTGGCTGACCATGTATAATAACACCTTCATTTAATCCATTAATCATTAATAATATTTTAAAGAGGTAACAAGCCGTAATTGCTATAGTAATCGCATTCAGTGATCACATGTGGAGATGTGGAGAATTTCTTTTTCCACCTATTTAAATCACTGGAAGAGGAACTATTTTATTTCATAAAAAACAATGATACACTAAATTACACAATGTTTCATTTTAACAAATAATTACACAGCTGTTACAGCCTGGAGAATATCTTATCCCATAATGTTTCCACATTTAAAAGGCCAACACACATGTTCAGTTCATATGCGCACACCCTACAATAACGGCAGCTTCAGGACCAACACTTGAAATAATTCCATTTAAATCATGCTTTCACTCCCCGCACTGAAAGATTTTTTTTTTTTTTTTTTTTTTTTTTTTTGCTTTTCTCAAACCCCATCTAAAGGATATTGAAAATTTAACCATTTCAGCTTTTAAGCAGGTAGTGCACTAAGTGCTGCAATAGAAGTAAACCTGTGAGTATCTATCACGGGTCAAACCCTACATGTATAGCAGTGTCGTATACGGGTGCTCTTCAACATCACTTTGGAGCCAGAAGCCCACTCAGACTTGTGGGTTTGGGATAGCAGGAGGGCTTTAATGAAGAGAGAGTGAGAGATGGAGAGACGGACAGGCGAGCCATGAAAGCTACCGACGCACAGGACATTTAAAACTTCAAATACTGTCCATTTTCACTCAAGCAGGACAGGTGAATTGAGAAAAAAGCACTCTCATATACACACGTTCTCGCACTCAGATATATACACTCTTCCACACATACATTCACATGCGCTCGTGCTGGAGGTAAGGACTCTCTGAGTGAGTTTATGGACTAACACAATCATGTTGGTGGCTTTTAATCACGCTGAAGGGGTTTTAAAGCACATGAGATCCATAGCCATTATTGCCTGTCTCTAGACGGTCTCATACAAGACTCCAGTCACACCCCGGCACACAGTCACACACACACACACGGGACCGAGCTGAAAATCATCATCTAAGTAATGTGTCAGTAAGCATAAGAGAAACAACTGTCTGCTGGAGAACAGAGTCTGAAAGCGATAAAAATCAGCAGTTACATGAGCGACTCTTACAAACAGTGAAAGTAAACAGGACATGGAAAAGACACAGCTGTCGAGAGCAGAAAAAAAAAGCAAACAGCGAAAAGTGTTGAAGCAAGTCAGATGAAAAAAGGTGGCAATGCTGAGGCAAACACACAGACACGGACACACAATAGCCGACAGGGAGCAGAGAGAGTTTATCTGTCTCTGACACCTCTGGCTTCCTGCACACGTACACGCTTTCCCCCCCAAATAACTACTTCTGCCTCTCAAATACTCTTTTGTTTTATTGTCTCCTATTATTATGAACCAGCAAAGCCCTACACAGATATGATAACTTAACAGTGATTTCATACTGTTGGTAAATGCTGCAATGTTTGAACAGAAGTAGAAATAAAAAATGATCTTTTTCTCTGTCTTTCAGCAGTGTCTCACTGTTCTCCCCGTAGGTTTCTCTTTGAGGTTTTGGAAAGGATAATCAGATTTATTTTAAAAACAAATTTACAAATAATTTTATTTTATAGCTATCTACACTGTACCGACAACTCTTTACATCATTCTTTAAACTGAGAGATCTCAGCTGCTGAGCCTTCACTCTGCACCAAAGAGACACTGAGCAGCAGTAAAAACCAGATTTTTTCAAAAGAAAAAAATCAGCATCACAGATGATGGAATTATTTTTTTTTTTTTAAGAAAAAATGAGCATATTTACAATAATAGACAGGTATATAGAAAAGATTAATCTGAGGATTACAGGCGGCAATTGTGTAATTATTTTAGCACTATTTAAAATTGCTGGTGTGCCAATGAAACACATTGTTTTAGCTAAAATGAACGAATGTTGAAATTCTATTCCAATTTTGATTATGTAAATAATCCAACATGAGGCTGTGTGAAGCCCACTTTACATTAAAACATTAATATGCAGGGTTATTTTCTGAAGAGTACAACTTAATGTGCAATTCATCCAGGTGAATTAAACTTTTTTTTTTAAAATCTAATTCTGCATCTGCATATACACTTTAGACCAGCAGCTCCGAGCCACCACAAAATACCTGCTTTCCGGTCTGACACCAGAAAATTTGACAAGGTCATAAAACGTGATGAAGAGCTTTTTCATTCCCGCTGGATCTTCTATTAAAGTGCAATTAAAAGTGTGTCATCGCGTCGCGGAAATGCCAGCACAGAGGACAGGTGGGGGTGTGTGTGTGTATGTGTGTGTGTGTGTGTGTGTGTGTGTGTG